GGCCCGGCCCGCCCCTCGCTCCGCATCCTTCGCCGCGCGGCTCCCAGCGCCCCGCACCGCGGCAGGGAGGGGCAGCCCCTGCGCTCGCAAGCGCCACACGGGAGACGCGGGACCGCGCTGCCCGCCGCGCGCCGCTCTCGGCCCGCGAGTCCCTTCCCAGAGCGGGGTTAGTGATGGGACCCATCGCACGGGTCCCACCAGCACTACACCACCGGCCCTGCCAGGGGCACGAGACGGGCGAGGAGTGGCGCCCAGCTTCTCCGCAGCAGCACTGCGGTGGCGCCCGGGCGACGTGCAGGTGGCTTGCAGCCCGCTGGGTTCGTGGCGTGGTGCCAGCGAACAGGAAGCTTGTTCACGCACTTTCCCTCCCGCGGGGGCTGCTCCTGCGTTGGGCGGGAGCGCCCGAGTCCCGCGCGCTGGTCTTCTGCGGCCTGTGCTGAGCATGACGGGCTTGTGGGGGTGGCCGTGATGCCCCGGGGGTGGTCGGCCTTTGCTTCCCCCAGGCCCTGGGGCCTGCTTCCCTCCTCGCCTGCCAGGCCTTGACCCACGTGTGAGTTCAGGAAGGGATGGTGCCTGGGGATCCCCCCTTCACCAGCTACCTCTTACTGCTCATCTGTCACCTCCAGGGCTGATTTCCTGGCCTCCTCCTGCCTACTAGCTGCACCCAGGCCTCACAGATGCTACTAATGATGACTCAGTTCAGGCCCTGCTCCGGGGCTGGGTCATTTCAACCGGCTCTCTAGCCCTGCCTCTGCCTTCTCTGGGGCTGGGCTCTAGTTCTTCCTTTGCCCTGTTCCTGGGCTCTGGCCCTGCTCCCAGGCCAGCTGGCATCTCCACCCCTGGTCCCAGGCCCAAACCACCAGTGTTTTCCAGGCAGGTCCACAATATTCTACTTGCCTGCCCTACTCCCAGGCTCAAGCATATCCCTGGTGTGAGTCCGGGGCTTCTCTGCTGCCCTCCAGTTTGGGAGCTCTTCCTCCCATACCCGCCCCAGCTCGGGCCCAGGCTTATACCGTCTCACCTGACCCCTTCCGGTCCCTTGAATGCCACCTGGGCCCTTTCTAGAGCCTTTCTTCTGAAGTAACAGGAGCACAAAGGTGCCTGTTACGACTTGCAGATGCTGCACAAACCCTCCGGGTTAGGATCTGAACATGGTGAAGTTTCCAGTTTCTCCTGTGTGCGTCCCTCTCCCATGTGAACAGCCCAGCATTGTGCGGTGGAGGTGGGCTGCAGTCCGTATGCACGTTTTCTCCAGCGTGAGGTACCTGGTTCTCTCTTCATGCCTCCTACTCGCCTGCGTCAGACGCCCGGCTGTCCTTCCATATGTCTCCTCTTGCTTCATTTGATACATGACCATTTTGGTTCTTGCAAGACTATTCCTGTTTTCTGCACAAAGAGAATGTCTCCTTTCTAAATCGATACATAATGTGTTTCAGTCTGCAGTCCTAATGTAATTTTTAACTTTGAAGAGTTGAGAAACTGTAGCGTTAATGTTTTAGCTTTACCTCTGCTCCTTCTGTTATCTGCATGGTGAATGACGGGACTGCACACCCTTCTTTTCACAGGCTCCCGGTCTCATTCTCAGTACAAGTTAGAAGGTGGATGAGGCTTGGCTTCCAAAAGAATGAAAGAAGTGGCCATGTGGATTTATGGCTGCTTTGAGACCTAATTTGTCAAAATTGCATAGAAGCAAATGGATCTTACTCTGAATATGCTTGTGTGTAAATGGGTGAATAATAGAAAATGAGGGTTGGAAGGGACATCTAGTTCAGCCCCCTGCTCCAAGTAGGACCAGCTCCAGCTGTCAGGTTTGAACACTATGTATATTGAGTAAGGTAAGGGGGGGGTCTCTGTTTAGTAGTAGTGGAAACAAAAGTACAGGTGCTCAGCTGCCTTGCTAATTGCATGCTAAATGAGTCTGGGATAGCTAGGAAATAATAGTATGTGATTATGTATTTTAAACACTGTATCTTTAGGCAGATGTGAAATGTGAGACAGTGTTGCACAAGACCCTGTCTCCATTAATGGCAGCCTGCAGCTTAATTATGTTAAAAAACACAGATTAGACACTGCTAGATGCAGTTGAAATCTTTTTAGGATTTAGCTGTGAAAATCACTAAGCCACTGTGAAGGGCAGTTTTAGCCCCTTCCCCTAAAGGATTTATAGATTGACCAGATTTGGGTAGGTTTTCACAAGACAGCAAAAGGCACTTTTCAAAGTTCCTGTTCAAAAGAATGGCAATGCTAGAGCTTCTCAAAACAAATGTCACCAAATTCTTTCAAAATGGGCAAAATATATTTTTCTCTCCACTTATTCTTGGAAATGGCTGAACCTCCTTGTCTGAAAATTTTCAGAATGATTCAGCCTGAGGTTAGCAACCAGTATGCAAAATTTCACCCTAAATAGCCAGAGTTTGAAGTTGTGCCCCATAAAATAGGAAGCATCAGACAGTGTTATAACAGCAGTTGTGCTGTCAGCTCACTTCGGTTCAGAAGGAGCCCACAAATATCCATTTTTACCAGATTATGTAGTTGTCATCTTTGCCCTTTGTCTCAAACTTCCAAAAAAATTCATGGTTGAGCCAAGATTAGACACTGACAGTGTTTCGTTTGAAAGCCTGTCTAACGCTATCCCAACTATGCAGGTGGTCCAATCAGAGATATTGGTGTTAGAAATCCTTGCTTCTCACAGTATGAATCACAAAACCGTGGAAAAGCAGGACTGGAAGAATGCTCCAGAGGTTGTCTAATCCAGTCACCTGCATGAGGGAAATCCATTAGCTAACCTCTCAGCAAAACTACACGGTCAGGAGTGACACAGTTGCACAACGACACCTGAACCTGCCACGGGTAAAGCAGGGGGGACCATGGTGGCCAACGTCCTGCTGCTGCGAGGTTGTTAAAAACACTCAAGGTCCAAAGAGAGCCATGCCTCACTCACTTTAGAGGAAGGCGACCCCTCAGTCTATACTAATCTGACCGCGAGGTAGAATTCCTTCCTGACCCCCAATATAGTGATTGGTCTGGCCTTAGCCAGGAGCTTCTGGGTGTAAGTGCCAGCAGGAGCATAGGCACACCCCAGTAAAATACTTCTGAGGAAAGCAAAAAAACAAACTCTTAAAACACATAGCAGTAGGGGGAGAAAAATTTCCTCCTAGCCCCATCTGGGAACGAGCAAAGCCCAGAAGCCTGGGAAATACCCATAGTAGAGCATAGGAGTAGCTACGTCTAGATCCTCCCTGACCAGTGCTTACCCACTGCCATTTTTAAGCGCAGTGCATGAGATGCTCTGGGCGCTTTAATTAAAGTGCCCCCCAGAGCAGGTGTATAAATGCCCTTCTTGAACTTCTCAGTCATGGACAGTCCACGGCTTCCTTTAGCAATCTGTTCCACTGCCTCGCTGTTCAAAAAGTGCACAAGTTCTTCCTGATAGCTTGTCTAGACCTACTTTGCTGCTGTTTCCTACTCTGTGCAATGAGGAAGCAGACGTTCTCCCTTTTATTTACACCAGCATTTCAGATATTTGAAGACTTCTATCACGTCCCCTCTTCAGCGCCTTTTCCACAAACTAAACATACCTATTTCCTTCAACCTTTCATTTGACTTGTCATCTAAGCCATTTAACACCTTTGTTGCTTGCCTCTGGACTCTCTCTGACTTCTCCATGTGCTTTTTAAGATTTAGAGCCTAGAACAGTGCACACAACTCTGATGAGGCCTGACCAGTGATGAGTACAGAGGCATTATCCCATTCTGTGTCTTACAGCTAACGTATCCCAAAACTGCATTCATCTTTTGTGCAGCTGTGTCACACTGCAGACTCATGCTGAGTCTGTGATTTACCAAGACTTCCATATCCCAGGGGTAGTTGAAGGGCGGATGCACAAGTTTGCGTAGGCTGCAGTACTGCAGAAAAGACTTGGGGGTTAAAGTGGACTGTAAGCTGAATATGAGCTAATAGTAAGCTCTTGCTGCTGCTGCTGCAAAAAGCCAATGACATATTGGGTTGTATTAAGAGGAGTGTCACTTGCAGATCGAAGGTGTGGTCTCTCCTGGAGTACGGGGGCTAGTAGTGAGACCTGCACTTCAGGAAGGTCGTGGACAGATTAGAAAGAGTCCGCTGGAGAGCGACAAAAATGATGAAGCCTGGAAAACATGACTCATGTTTGGAGAAGAGAAGACTGAGGGGGGATTTGATAGCAGTCTTCAAATACCTGAAGGATGGTTGAAGAGAGGATGAACATTAGAGACTTCTTTGTGGCCATAGGGAGCAGGACTAGGAGCAGTGGCCTCAAACTGCAGCAGGGGAAATTTAAGCTGGAGACTAGGAAGAACTTCATGAGAGTGGTCAAGCACTGGGACAGGCTGCATAGAGAAGTTGTGAGATCACTATTGCTGGAAATTTTCAGGAGCAGGTTAAATACTTGTGTAGGATGCTTGAGTCAGGGATGTTCCTGCCTTTAGGAGGTGGCTGGACTAGATGCGACTTCCTGGGGCCTCTGCCAGCCTGACTTTTCTATGATTCTAAGATGTTGTAAGAGAAATGTTAGAGAGGGAAGGGGAAAGCAAGGAAACGGAGTCACAAAAGCTAAGGGAAGACAAGAGGTCAAAAGGTGGGCCACGGCTGATTGTGATGAAGGCAGCTGACATGCCAAGGTGGATGCGGATGGAAGGCTGGCTCTGAGCCTTCCCAGGACAGAATGATTAGAGTCTTTAGTGAGAACGGTCTCCATGCAGACTCAAAGCCAAACTGGGGAGAGCCCAGGGAAGAGCTGAAGGAGAGGCACTCCGGGCGGTAGTTGTAGGCAGTGTGGGCTGGGAGCGCATTGTCAGGGCTCAAACATCGATGAATGGAATTGTGATGCGGAGTCTCCTAACAAGGGACTGGGCTGGACTTGCTAATCTAGGAGATCCTTTCCAATCCTTCATTTCAGAAAAAAAAGAGAGAGAGCAGTAGGTGGGGGGGATGGTGGGGTTTTACGATGGTTTAAGTTTAAGATGCGTAACCGCGCTTGCATAGTGAAGGGGAAGAATTGAATGACACTGAGAGGGTGGGGACATAGACGAGTGAGCGTGAAAGTTCAGAAGGGACAGGGTTGGTTCAATGAAGCAAGCAGAGATGAGAAGGGAGAAGACAAGATTTTTGTGCCAGTGACCTGTAGCAGAGGGGAGAGCGAGGAGATTGACTGCTTGGTTATTGTATTTTGCTTTGTTTTAAGGGAAAGGTCAGCTTAGTCCTATGTTTGCTTCATGGTAATGAAAATCTGGGGCCAGCTTTAACACTCCATTAGTGATGGTTTAGAGGGGTGATGAATAAGAGCAGTGCAAAGGACCTGTGTGGTCCAGTGGATGAGGTTCTAGGCTGGGAGTTGGGTAACTTGGGACGGGGCTCTTGCCTGGGAATCAGGTGACATGAGTTCTGTTTCCTGTTCTTTCACCGCCTTGTCATGAAAACTTAGGCAATTCACTTGTCTTCTCTATGTTTTCCCTTCCTTCCCTTCCTTTATCTTGTCAGCTAATATTGTAAACCAGGGGTGAACAATTATTTCAGTTGAGGGGCCACTTAATGAGTTTTGGAGACCTGTCAAAAGCGACATCCATCTCTCCCCCTCTCTCTGATTCCTCCTCTCTCTGTCTGGCTTTTCATCTTTTCTCTGTCTCTCTCCTCTCCCTGACTCTCTCCCCTTCTCTCTCTCTGGCTCTCCCTCCCTCCCTCCAGAGCCCAGCCAGAGCTGTAGTTTGCCAGGAGCCCCATAGCTCATCTGTGGACCCAGCTGGCAACTTCCGCCACAGCGGGCAGGCAGTGGCATCAGCTGTGGGCACTGCCAGCAGGTTCCAGAGCCCAGGTGTGGCACCTGCCGGCTGCGTCACAGCTGGTGCTGCTGCCCGCCCAGCATGGCGGAAGCTGCTGCCCAGGTTCATGGCTGACACTGTCAGCAGGTTCCAGGTTGGGGCTCCGGCCAGGAGCTTCTGCTGCACTGGGAGCTGTGGATGCTGCCACCAGGTTCTGCGCTGGCCTGCTGGGGCTCCTGAACCTGCCGGTGGCAGCCACAGCTGACACTGCCACCCATCCTCTGTGCCCAGGTCCGCAGCTGATGCTGCAGCATCAAGGGCGATACTTCCACCCAGCGGCAGTCCCGCCTGCCAGCCCTGCACCTCACAGAAGCTGCAGCCGCCAGCTGCCTGTGGGCCCGATCCAGTGAGTTGGCAGCTCTGTACTGTCAGGCCAGACTGAATGTGTTTTGCTCCCCCCTGCTGTAAGCCCTTCAGGTCAGGGGCTGTACCTGTGTTTCTGCAGGGCCCTGCATGATGGAGCCCTAATGTCTTCAGGGCCTCAAGGCACTACTGTAATATAAATATAGTAATAAGGCAGTCTACATGGGGATGGCTCTCCTTGGAGATGGCTTGAGCATTACATACAGTCCTCCTGGAATATCAATAGCATGTTTCTCCTTTTACTGTGGTGACATGAGCAACTATGAAACTATGTACAAATTGCTGAAGTCATTCTAGGTTTATTTGAGTATCAGCGTATCAGGTGAGTTGAATCCTGATGGGGATTTTTGTGTGTTTGCAGCTGTCCTTGATAATGAGAGGCTCACAGCAGAGGAGATGGATGAGAGGAGACTTCAGAATGTGGCATATGAATATCTTTGTCACCTGGAGGAAGCAAAGAGGTAAGTAGGAGTGGGTTTGAAACCTGATGGGAGGTATCATTGTACCTACTTAATGGTGTAGTTGGATACAGCTAGTGCTTTGCCGTGCTGCTGAGTTGACTCTTGAGGTAGACACGTAGATAACATGTCTGTCTGTTGTAAGAAAAAGAAAATAGTGTGCAAAGACACTGCAGAAGTCTGTGTTGCAGTTATCTTACCCTTTATACATGCATAAACTTTGTCTCCATTATAAGTGGTAAGAGTAATGGCACAGATAAGGCAGTTTATGTTCAGTTGCCTGTAACTGCTAAAATGTAATTGTTTTGGCTTAAATTTTACAGGTTTGGTGTTGGGCTTTGGTCGAATTTTGGAAGTTTCAGTAAAAACGAGTTTCCAAGAATAATACTGGGGGAAAATAGACAATTTTTCCAATACTAAAATGCCAGCTATTATTTTTTGAGCAACTGTAGTGCTTCTGTAATTTGGTACAGGAATGTGAAATCTGACAGGATGTTTAGTCATGGGGCCAGAGGGAGAAGTTTTGCTGTCCACATGAAAATCTAGCTATGTTTGCTAGGATAGAAGCCACAGGTGACTGCCATTGTGCAGCTCTTGTTCTTTGTTCACTAATTTTCTACATATTTCCACTATTAATTTTACTGAGCCTCACTGAGTTGCCCAAGTCTGACTGCCTACTTTCATAGGTGCCAGGAGACTAGAAAGAGTGTTTCCAAGCATTTTACAAGCTCTAGTTTTTACCATTTTACAGATGAGGTAACTAAGAGATTTTGTGAGGTCCCTGTTGGCAGACCTGGCAGTAGAAGTCATGTCTCATCCACTTAGACCGCTGTTCTGAAAGCATCTGCTCTATCTGTGTGTTTGGGTATACTGTCTGCAAAAGGGGTGGCTGCTGCATTTATAGTTTCAGTTCCTGTAAACAGTAGTAACTTATTACAGCTGCCTTCCAACGCTAATGCACCTTGGTGCCAGTTGTTGATTTCTCTGCTGATGGTTCAGAATTCAGACCCCGCTGACAACTCGTTGTGTGTTGCGGGATTTCTCCATCACATTTTACTTACAAATTCCGTTAAACTTTAGACCTATTGTTCTAGGCTCCAGGTCCAGATTCTCACAAGGACTTGGAATTAGGCCCCTAAATTCTACCTACATTTAGGTCCTCAAAACAGCAGCTCAGCTGTTCTCTAACCCTAGAAACATCTGAGGTCCTCAGGTACTTACATTTTCAATGTTGAATTTCCCCAGGCACTTAAAGTTTTCCTTTGTGTGTGTCAAGAAACACCTCAATCTCGACAAGGCTCTGTGTCTGGGCTTTTAGTTCACATGTAAACTCTGTTGGAATCTGCAAACAGATGTTCTTCTACCTCGTTAGCCCAAGGGACTCATTCTGCTGCATGTGCTGGATTATTCTGTACATGCAGTGCAGTCACAGCAGTTGCTTTCATATAAAATTAAGGGTGGTGATGATGCAGCCTCCCTTTTATCCAGTAGCTCAGTGGTTAGAGCATTTGCTTAGGATGTGGTAGATATAGGTGTTTAATTTCTTCCTCTGAGGGATTTGGACCCGCATCTACTTACTGGGAGACTGCCCTAAATGCCGTCTGTGCTATAAGCTGTGGGGGGTACCCCCATCCTTTTGCAACTGTGCCAGTTTGCCTAAAGTAATCATTTTCATTGCTCCTGGATTGAGATTGAGCAAGACTTTCTAGTTTAATGGACAAGACACACAAGTGAGAGAAGGAAGAGCTGTATTCTAGTGTCCATCTTAGGGCTGATCATACATTTTTATCAGTGTTTGTTAAATGTCACTTATACAAACAGTCCTTGGAGCAGGATCTGGCACCCAGGGTTTGAGATGCCACTGAGCGGTCACCCTCATGAAAGGCTGCATTGATGACCTTCCCCATGTCATGTTAAATTGCACTGTGTATTTGCACTTCTGTTTCATTAGGACAGTCTTAAAATCATCCACGTGTCCATTAAAACTGTTGGGTCACATATTGTACAGACTTCCATCACACCAACACTGTTATGTGTTCTGCTGTTGCTCTGTGCTGAGAACTGGAAGTAGGGGTAGAATGCTAAAAAAAGCTCAGACAAAAGTGAGTCGGGATAAGTTCATTTTAAGAAAAACTTCAGATTTCTGATTTGTCAGCCTTAAAATGTGAGTGCAACAGCTCAATTGATGATGATGTGTAGTCTGTTAATAAAGAGGCGTTTGCAAATGTATGAACTGAACACTCGTGTCTTGGGCTGGTACTAAGGTAAAGTTGTATCAGCTTTTGTTTTTTGTCACTATGGCTCTGTTATAATTTAGCGCTTCTTGGCTCCAGCTCTGTTTGTAAGCACAATGACTCTCAACCTCCCGGTGACGCAAGTAATCTCCATTATATTACTAGGAGAAGACTGGCAAAATTTATTACTGACTTGCCCCAGGCCACAAAAGGAATTGGTGCCAAAGCAAGACTGCAGTACAGGAATTCCTGTCTTTCAGTCTGGTCCTTAAACCAGATTTCTCCTTTGGATAACACACTGCTTAAGTTCCAGAAACAGAAGGACACTGCAAATCGCCATGGGTCTGGGCAGAGTCTGCAGAGTAAACATAACAGCATGAACAGCTATATGGCAGGTATAACAAAAAAATTCATGTGCACAGATGCCCTGGGCTTGCTCCCTGGAGTAGCAGCCACCAGCTCTGACATGGTAGGATGGCCCTTATCAGAAGGGTGGGAGTTGGTGTTGTCATGTTCTTGATCTGGGACCTGAGCTGACCGTTTTTCCTTATATGTGTGAATGTTACCTGCTGAGATCTCATAGTATTTTAATGACAGCCTTGTGCTATATTGTGTTAAGAGTTGTGAGCATTCTCAAGGACTTGAGTATTATCACTGAGCAGTATAGAAAACTTAAACTCAGTGGAGTTTTGTCTATGCTACTCCTGTTGGGAGGCTCTCACAAAACCTCACTGTGCTGCCCTTTATCTTTAATAATGCTTGTCTTCCTCTAGTGGTCACTCCACTGATAAATTCAGAGAAAGCAACCCTTTCTCTCTCTAGTCTTGATATGCTTTTTATCTGTTTTACTGCCTGTGCTTGGTCACGCAGTGTGTAAACGTGGAGCCTCTAAATAAAAATAGCTGTGTGCGTGTCTCTCAGTTCATTACAAATCTTATGTAAATGTATCTATGTATTGGGTATAGGTTTCTAATATGAGCCTTGAAGCTGCGGAGTTTGTGCGCCCAGCTCTAAACACCCTTCTGGAGTTTTGGGGCAACCTGGAGATTGCAGCTTGGAGTGCTGGGATCCTGTGCGCACGGGCCAGGAGCTTGCAGCTGTCAACTGGGGAGTTAAAAGGCATTTTCTCTTTCTTCACTGTTAAACTAAGAAGTGTGTCAGTCATGAAATGACTTCATTGACCCCCAGATCCATCCAAAGGAAAGATTTGGTTTAGGCCTGTAAACTACTTAATTTGTTTTTCAGACTTGCGTATACCTGGCATATTTCTGTCCTTAATAGTTTTTAATTCCTAATCTGACTTCCACATACCTCCAGCCTGGTTACAGATTAACACTGTCGGGGTGATTTATGAACATACGTGTTTATGACTTCTGAGTGGTGAATCCCTGTGGCCATTCTTGCTTCAGAGTGACAGAGGAAAATGAAAAAATGTAACACAAGCCGTTTCCATTTCTAAACTGCAAGGGATTTGCATTCTGCAGCAGTGAGATGCAGAATGGCATCACTAGCCTGGCATTGCATCTTCTCATCTTTCCAGAACTCGGAAAGAATTTTTTCCAAAAGTCATCTAAAATGCGGTTGAGAAATGACTTGATCATAGCTGCTAACAGTCTACAAGGGAAGGTTTTTGCTGCTAAAGGGCTCTTCAGTAGAGCAGAGGGAGACCTGGCAAGATCCAGTAACTGGAGTTCTGGGTTAGACTCACTCAAATAAAATGCAGTCAGTGTAGAGGCAGGGCAGTTGGCCGTTGAGCACCTTGCCAGGGAGCTTGGTGAACTCTTTCTCACTCGAGACCAGAGTTATTTCTAAGAAGATTTGCTGTGGTTCAGTCACAAATTAAGCATGGTGTAGGAAGCACCAAGTGAAATTTGTGACCTGATTTTATGCAAGCAGTCAGACTAAATGGCCATAATGGTCCCACTGGTCTCAATTCTTTAATCTAAAATTGTGTTCTGAAAAAGGCTCCTGCAGTTGGGTAGAGGCTCAAATCAAGCATGCCTTTGCTAAGCAGGTGGTCGCATATCTTGAATAGAGTTCAATACCATTTTGAAGTTCATCTGTTTTCAGTTTCTAACTTTAATTCCCTCCACCCCCCCATCAGACAGTTCTCTCTAGATCTACCATGGGTAGACTTAGGAACAGTGATGAACATGAAATAATAAGTAGTTGTTATAGACTAGGGGTTCCCCAAATGTTGTTTGTGGAGGACAGTTTATGGATGGGGCATCACAGTAGGGGCTCGATAACCAAATGAGTCTGCAGTGTTGTACCTTTAAGTTCAACAGAGGCTCAATGGGGCATGGTGATCAGTTTAAGTTGGATTTAACACAATGTACCTTACATCATATACAAAGTTACGATAAAGAGAGTCCCAGGGCTGCTGTGAAGATGTGTGTCAATTAGTACTGAACAGTTTGTGTTGGTCAGTGCTGCGGAGAAGAGCCACCATTAGAGCCCCTGTGCAGGCTGCATGCAAACATTTGCGAGCTGCAGGTGGGCTGTGGGCCCCATTTTGGGGACTCCTGTCATAGACAGTCATGCTTGTGGGAATTGTTGTATGCTTGTCAGCAAGAGTTGTCTCTAAGTCAGAGTGAGGATGGACTCATGGTGAGGTTTACTGTCTCTGCAAAAGGAACTGGATTGCTTTTTCCATTCTGCTGCTGCTGCTTAGCATGTTGACCAGGATTGTCACATAACCTCTCTGCTCTCCCATGTATATCCATCTCGTCTTTGGTTGTAAGTTCTTTGGGGCAGGGACTCTACTTT